GAATAGCACTTTTTATATGCTGCAAAAAATACTCAGAATACAACTAGCTTTATGTATTTGTGTTCCTATATATGAAGTTCTAGTATTTATATTTAAATTGCATTTATATTATTAAAACTTTAAATTAGCAATTAATGATTGTTGAAATATAGTAAAAAATATAGAGTTTAAAATCTGCCAAGCAAAGCGAGGCAAAACATCAATGATTGTTGAAATATAGTAAAAAACTGTAGAGCTTAAAACCTGTTAAGCAAAGCGAGGCAAAGCATTAATGATTGCTGAAATATAGTAAAAAACTGTAGAGCTTAAAACCTGCTAAGCAAAGTGAGGCAAAACATTAATAATTGTTAAAATATAGTAAAAAAAATATAGAGTTTAAAACTACCAAGTGAAGCAAGACAAAAATAAAAAACTTAAAGCTCAAGCAAAACCAAGAACTATAAATTTTAATATATATTTTTTGATTTTACAATTAATCATGTATTATCAAATTGTTAGTGTCTGTTAATACCATATACTATTACATCTAATTATTAGTTGGCGGCAAAGCTGCTACATGATCATGTACTAGTTATATAATAAAAATCCAAATTATTCATGGAGTTGTCAGTAAATACTTTATCAGAATTTATTCTGTTTCTGGTTTTAGCAAAACTGTATTGCATAGCTAATTTATTTTATAACAATGTTCTTATTTATTATTTTTGTTAGTACTATCTTTGCAGATTACTAGATATTAGAACTTAACTTTTTGTAGTATTTAAATTTTAGTTAATTAGAGGTGACTTGTTTGAAGGCAGTAAAATGGTTTAAAATTTAAAAAAGCAAAAGTTTGATTATCTACTTACTAATATTTCTATTTTATTGTCAATTCAACTTTTAGCATACAGAGATGCTCTTGAAGTTTCTAGATAAAGATGATTTCAGGTTTTTGATATAGTATTTGCTGCTACTAAGAAAGCCTGTTTACAAGTTACACTAGTCATCTGATAGATAGGTAATCTGTTGCCATAAAGGCTAAAGTAGGAAATTCTTTTTGATGTGCTTGCCACCACAACCATTGTGAAACATTTTCATCATAGAGCAAAGTTAAATATTGTTCTAATTCATTAGTAGTTTGGTTCTGATTGCTTCTATAGTCATATTCAAAATAATATCATTTAAGCTTATTAAAGTAATCATATATAGTACTAACTTCATCTATATTTGATTGAGTATTAGAAATTAATTTAGATTTAACAAAATACAGATCAAATACTTCTTGAATTTTATTGCTGCATTTGTAGTTGGTTGTCCTATTTTAAATAATAATAATTTTGTTCACAGATCAAGAATCATTGTAGTAAAAGTTGCAATATCAATTATATCTCTATATTCTTTAATTTTTTTATTAAATAATGCAGCCAACATATATTGACTAAAAGTATTATTATTAATATATTTTTGAAGATATTCTTGAATTCCAGTAAACAAAAAGTAAATATTAGCAATTGTTAAATATAAAGATACAGATAATAATGTGGTGGCTTTTTCCAATAGCTCTATTAATATAAGTACTTTCTAATTTTAATAAATTTTTTTAAAAATTTAGTAATATTAAATATAAAATATTGCTAATATATCCTCTAGTTAATATAACTACCTATTATTATTATAACTTAAAAAGTTTAAATAACTATTTTTAATACACCAAGTAAAAATATTTAGCATTATAAAAAATCTTATTCTGGCCTATTTCTAACTCTAATTCTAAATTTTAACTTTTTAAATATTAAAATTAATATTAATTTTAAAATTTAAGTATAAATTATAGGTTGTTAAAATTTATAATCTTAACCAGAGATTAAAATTAGTTAAATTCAAATGTAGATACTAATTTTTACCTTAATTTTATTCTATATTTCTGTTGAAGGTATTAAATATTAAATATCATTATGATTAACTACTAGCATTTGTAAAGCAACTTGTATTCTGAGTATTTTTTGCAGCATATAAAAAGTGCTATTCTATCTCATTTTAATATCTAATTCAGGTTTTAGGTATTCTAATTTTTGTACAATATACAATTTTCTTAGCTCATCACATAATCTTGTTGATATTTTTATTTTTAACATTATTGTGTGAGTATTAATAACTTCTTGGTCAATTATTTCTAATCTATGACATGCTGCTAAATTTAAAATATATCTATTGCATTTGTAATAGTGAAAGGTTTGATTATTTAGCTCTTTTTGTAAGTCATTTGCTAATAGTTGTTCACAAACTACTATTGCAAATTCATTATCAGTAGTGAGCACTAATACTTTATTTAAAAGTTTAAATTCTGCTAAAAGATTATTTATAGTTGTTACAATATTTACTCCAGTATAATATATAATAAAAGGTATAATATCTAACAAAAATTGATAAAAAGACTATTTTTGATCTATATAATGAATGGTTATACCAAGAAAAGCTTTGTGATTTATTGTTGATGTCTATATATTCACAGTTAAAGAAATCTTACTTGTAATATTATTTAATTTATTGATAATTTAGGTTCTTTGTATATTGAAATAATTAAGAACTATATCTTTAATTTGATGTCAGTTAGGAATTTGGTAGTACAAATCAAATACTTTTAACATTTCAATAAAGATTTTAGTCTCGATGATACTAAATAGTTGCTAATCTGATATACCCACTTGATTAAGATATTATCATATTTTTTTTTTGTTTTTTATACTAGAGATCAGTATGTGCAAATAATATCTGAGTTTGATAGCTTTTGAGTTTAGAAATTCTAATTTTATATTGACTTTCTAAATACTTTTTTAAACTTGAATTTCCAGATTTCTCTAAAAATTTTTGATTACATTTTTTGCAAATTAGAATATTTAGATCATTTGGATCAAATTCAAAATAAGCTATAAAGGTGAGGGCCATTTTGAAGATTTATTCAAAATAGTTAGAATAGAAAAATTTATTTTAGATATTTGAGTTGATTTATCATTAGAATAATTATTAGAATAGTCATTAGAATAGTT